GGGGACACTTTGGGACTTGGGGGGCACTGGGGGATGTGGGGAGATGGGGATATCAGGGGACATGGGGACAGTGGGATGTGCATGGGGACATGGGGACGCTTTGGGATATGGGGGGCACTGGGGGACATGGGGACAGTGGGGGACATAGGGGGCACTGGGAGGATTTGGGGACATGGGGATATGGGTCACTGGGGGCCATGGGGACACCAGGATGTGCTTGGGGACATGGGGACATGCATGGGGACACCGGGGGGGATGTGGTGTCATAGGAGTGTGCTGGGGGACGTGGGGACAGGGAGGGACATGGGGACATTGTGGGCGTGGGGACATTAGGGATGTGCGTGAAGTGTGCTCCCAGGTGTGTCCCCATCCATGTCCCCGTGTCCCCAAGAGTGTTCCTGTGCGTGTCCTCATCCATGACATGTCCCCAAGTGTGTCCCACGCGTGTGCCCACACATACGATGTCCCCAAGCATGTCCCATCCACGTCCCCATCCACGTCCCCATCCCTATGATGTCCCCATCCCTTCAGTGTCCCCATCCGTGTCACCATCCCCATCTATATCCCTGTAATGTCCCCATCTACGTCCCCATCTGTGTTCCCATCCCTACAGTGTCCCCATCCGTGTCCCATCCATGTCCCCAAGATGTCCCCATCCATGTCCCCATCCCTGTAGTGTCCTTGTCTGTGTCCTCATCCCTGTAATGTCCCCATTCCCATCCACATCCCCATCCATGTCCCCATACCTACAATGTCCCCATCCGTGTCCCATCCATGTCCCCAAGATGTCCCCATCCATGTCCCCATCCTTGTAGTGTCCCCATTCCCATCCCCATCCCCACAATGTCCCCATCCCCGTAGTGTCCCCGTCTGTGTCCCCATCCCTACAGTGTCCCCATCCATGTCCCCAATCCCTATGATGTCCCCATCCCTCCTATGTCCCCATCCCTCCTATGTCCCCATCCGTGTCCCATCCCCGTAGTGTCCCCATTCCCATCCCCATCCCCACACTGTCCCCATCCCTGTAGTGTCCCCATCCGTGTCCCCATCCCCACAATGTCCCCATCCCTGTAGTGTCCCCATCCGTGTCCCAATCCCCACAATGTCCCCATCCACATCCCCACCCATGTCCCCACAGTGTCCCCATCCCCATGATGTCCCCAATCCCTATGATGTCCCCATCCCTCCTATGTCCCCATCCACGTCCCCATATCCCCCCCCATTTCACCCCCATAGACCCCCCCAATCCCTATGCCGATTTCCCCACGCACTCCCCACATCCCCAC